ACAAATTAAGTTTCAAGTTGCACAGACAAAACACTAAACTGAAATGATAGAGGTTTGGAAAGCAGCAGAATTACAAGAATCTCACTGTTGTTACAAATAAAATTTAGTAACTCCAGGAATTTCCACACAATTATTTATAGCAGTAGAGTCATTATAGTCACAACAAGACTGACAAAATGTGTTTCAGTGTTTGTAATTATTATTATTATTTTTAAACACAAAGTTAAAACTCGAACAGAAATCTGTAACTTACAAAAGTATTCAGACTGTTTGCTTTTGTGTTCCCATCATCAGATAAATTCCTTTTTCTTTAATAATCCTGGAAATGTTTCTAGAACCTGAGTGAAATCCACCAGAGGGAATTTAAAACATGGTTTATAACTGTAGATTCTTTTTTATTTATTTATTTTAAAACGACTTCTGAAGCAATCAGGAACGATTTGACTTAAAAAAAACGTGACATAAAGGACCTGATTTGGCAAGACGCGTCGTATGCTTTTCTTGCAAGAAGGATCTCGGTCAAAGAGGCGACCAAGGACCTGAGACTCTTTTAACGGTAGTTTGGTTATCTGTGAGATGAGAGAAGATCAGGATATCCATCTCAACAGCACCTTACTAATCGCCTTCACGGCTGTGCAGCCACATGGAAGTTACTCTAACTAAAAGGCATAACAGATTCATTGAGCTTCCAATCGGCAAACTTTCTCAAAGGAAAGGAAAAGATAATCTAGCCATCACCAGACATGACTCATAACCTGCTCAAAACTTCACTGTAATCCCTACAGTGCCCCATGATGGTTGTATGATAGGGATTCTCGTCAGAGCTGTTGAAAACTTAATGAATGCTATGAAAAAGAAAAAGGAATGGTCTTGAATACCTTCTGAGTTGACTGCATTACTTAAAAACAGCAAGAATAATGCTCAAATAACTGTGTAAATGAAAAGCTTAAGAGTTAATAGAACGAGATCGAACAGCATCACCATCTTGCTCATTTGGCTCTTCCTCTGCCTGGGTGAGCGGCTCTCGGTCCGGGTCGCTCTGCTCCTGCCCTGACTTCTTGGTTGTCTTGTTCAGGGTCCCACCCTGTAGGGTCAAAAATAATAATAATTAACTTCCTGCTGAGTGTGTGTATAGAGTATAAACTCATGAGATAACTTCTACAGATGTCTGACCTGTCTGTGATCAACAACATTAAGCAGCACTGAGGTCACAATGCAGCTGATGGTGTTGGCCAACATGAAGATCATCATCCTCTGCCAACGCCACAGCGGGATCTTAGTTTCACTGGAACACAAATGGAGAAACTGCAAAGCTAAACAAGACTGAAAGGACAATTAGTGCACGGCAATGAGATTCTAATGTCAGGTTCTCCCCACCTGGACTTGGTGCCTAGTATTTGTCCAACAACGAGATTGGAGATCCCGATCCCAATCATCTGTACGGAGGTGGCCAGGCCCATGGCAGTTCCCAGAGTCGCCTGAGGTACGACAAGGGGAATAGACGGCCACATGCTGGCCTGGAATGCCACACAGGCAGCAACAAGTTTAACATACTAGGAAATACATTAACTCATAGTAATAATTTACCATTTTACTGATGTCTATTTACTCACAGCAGCAAAGGAGTAGGTGACTCCCAGCCATATGGTTGAAACCAGAGGAGGGACAAAAGTGAAAGCCAGGAGTCCAAACACGGGCAGCGTGAGGACGGCGCACGCCACTGCGAAGACTCCCCGCAGACCCACATAATCCTGAAACACATGGCAGCGAGAGTGTTTCAAGATAAACCAACTCAACTCAATGCAGGAATACAATTTGGTTTAGACTAAAGATACATACGATGAGAATGCCCACGCTGGCTGAGAGGACCAGTGAGCTGTCATAGACTGCTCCTGCAATATAAGCCGCCTCCTTCTGGCTGTAGTAGCTGTACTTATCCTGGATGAACTTGCTGGCAAATGAAAAAAATAAATGGCACATGTGAATGCTTATGACACCAGTATCACTTTGGTGCTGGTCTATTCAAAGGAATGCAGGGTTATAACTCACTGGTTGCTCTGAAAGTGGTGTGTAAAGGTGTTTTGTTTTTTTTGCATCTTTGTCGCATTTAAATGTTTCAGATCAAACAAATGTAAATATTACATTACAATCCAAACCTACATGGCCCTGTGTGAAAAAGTAATTGCCCCTAAATCTAATAAGTGGCGGGGCCACCGTTAGCAGTAACAACTTCACTTAAGCGTTTGCGTTAACTGGCAATGAGTCTTCACAGCGCTGTGGAGGAATTTTAGCCCATTCATCTTTGCAGAAATGTTGTAATGTAATTCAGCCACATCTGAGGGTTTTCAAGCATGAACTGCCTTTTTAAGGTTATGCCACAGCATCTCAATCAGATTCAGGTCAGGACTTTGACTAGGCCACTCCAGAGTCTTCATTTTGTTTTGTTTTTTTCCAGCCATTCAGAGGTGGACTTGCTGGTGTGGTTTGGGTCACCCAGGTGCCCTTCAACTTGAGGTCATAAACAGATGGCCTGACATTCTCCATCAGAATGTTTTGCTAGACGTGCCACACGGTTCCATTTACCACAGCACGTCTTCCAGGTTCAGAGGCAGCAAAACAGCCCCAGACCATCACACTACCACCACCATATTTTACTGTATTTTAATGTTCCTTTTCTAAAATGCTGTGTTACTTTTACAAAAACGTCCAGCAGTAATCAGGCCTGGGTGTGGCTAGAGAAACTAAACTCAGCTTTCCAAAGATTTGACACACCACAGTTAATTCATCTTATCTAATAAAAACTTTGGCGTGCTCTAGTCAAAGACCTGACCTGAATTCGATTGAGATGCTGTGGCATGATCTTAAAAAGCCAGTTCATGCTGAAAAACCCTCCAGAGTGGCTGAATTACAACAATTCTGCAAAGATGAATGGGCCAAAATTCCTCCACAGCGCTGTGAAGACTCATTGCCAGTTATCGCAAATGCTTGAAAACAAACAAACAAAAAAAAACAAAAAAAAAAAAACAGGAAATCAGGCAGGAGGACAACATTTTTTTTCACATCACTGTATTTCATCAGTATGCACACACTTTATATTGAGAACTCTACCTTGCATCAGCAATGAAGGGGAAGATGCCGTTGTAGAAGAACATGATGGTGAGAACCAGCAGCCAGTATCTTACTGACAGGAGCTTCACATCCTGAATCCTCTACACATAAAAACACACAACAATAAATGATGCTCCCCACACAGATCACTAGTGTGTCCATAATACTGAAAAATTAAGGTTTTAATCTTCAGTGTTACGTATGCATAGGGATGGGTACTGGTATCATGGCACCGGTTCTGACATAAACGGTAGTAACCAGACCGAAAAGCAGCGCACATTTCGGTGCTTGTTTTTCCTGAGCTGTGATACACTTTGGATTCTAGCCAATCATTTTACGTTTCCGAGGATAGTAGGCGGGCCCAGGTACGTACATTCTTTTAGAGCAGAACTACAGATTAAAAATGCCCAAGGCGAAGCGGTCAAAGTCTGGCTGTACTTCACAGCAAAAGCAAACTCAGCAGCCTGCAACAAGTGCTTTAAGGTGATACTGTGATACTATCAAAGGAGGTAACACCTCAAATCTGATGAAAC